ATAGCAACGAGATAGTATTCACAATTTACAGTTAGCTGAGCACTTTAGCCGCCCGATGCAGGGTTACAAGACTGGCATAAAGTTCAATGTACGATTTATCATAAACTAAATCCGTGGCTAACCTTGTCGGTCAATATGATGATTGGTTTCTCATCATTGAGTGACCCACTTGGACCTTTTTTTATATAGAGAACGTACTAACAAAAATGAGGTAACCTAACTTTTTTTTCATTAGTTTGCCAGTTTTTTTCTAAATTTAGAAAAATATTACAAAACATTTTCATTGATACCTTTTGCATTTCATATTTTGACGAAGTTCTTCTAGCAAACTTTCTTTTTGCAGTTTTCAAAATATTGAAGGCTTGCGATGGCTTGTAAAGAAAATTGTGGTTCTACAACTTTGCAGAACATATACATTAACGCGCCACGCGTTCGCTGCTAGTTGCAGTATTATTTCATGAGTCTCCTACGAACCATTAGGAAACCCTCAAACGCGCTTTGAACATTCACTTTTAGTCATGTCTCGGTCGCGCTAGGAGATATATACAATTTTAGGGATGAGTACAGCTGGATTTAAAGTATCATGAAATTAGTTGGAGTTATAAGCGTTTTTTTTAATGATCCGTTATGCTGTGGATCCCACAATAGAGATTTACTTCGATAGGAATCGATGAGCATATTCAAATTTTCTTCTGCCCACTCCATTACTATATAATTAAAAACAAAAAAAAACACAATAAACGCGCGCCCAACATTGGAACAGCGGAAATGGAAAAGAATGCGTTAAATGTTTGATTCGTGTCATTGCTGCCAAGTTGTACTCTCCCTCCCATATACGCATTTTTAATCATAGTAAAAGTACGTATATACTCAGCAACAGAATAACAGGAACTGACCCAAATATCATAGAATTCCAGCAGTAACAAAGGGACTGTTAAAAAACCGACAACCGCAAAGGTTCACTACTTGAGTCACGGATTTAAGAACCTTTCAATTTTCACGCCACCGTGTTGTTTTGCTAAAATGTATCCAAAAACGAATAAGTTCGTAAAAGTTACGAATGCGATTATGAGCGTGTATAAATGCTTGACGTTGTACAAACTTGAGTTGTACTTGCTTTTTCTGTTGACTGCGCAAGTCCTATAAAAATGCCTTCCCTAGCAAATTCCCTATGTTCCCTAGAAAATTCCTAAAAGCCCTACTTTTTTTTTGTTTTAATGGATTTACCGAGGGATTTACTTAATGATCCTCAAAATTTATTGACGTATATTTGTAGGTCAGCCAGTCGAGCAGTGAACATTCGTTAATATACAGGGCGACTCAGGGCGGATGGTAGATAGTAGGGCATAGGATCGTCTTGAATGTTGGTAATTTGCACAAGCGATGACGATATATCGATCTTTTCTTCTTGGAAATATGAATACAATCACAATACACATTGGGTGTCACATTTAAAATATCAAAGATGCTGTTAACTATACGATCCCAGTTTGTGTTTTAATAAACTTCCAACCTATCGTCCACCGTGAATTTTTTACTAATTCTGGCCCTTTTCAGATTACATTATTAAACAAAACATAAGTTGTGGTGATTAATTATGGTTCGCTTGCCACTCTTTTGTAGCTGATGAAGAATTATCGTGTGCCAAATAAAACGATCCACTATACGATCTGGAAACCCATAGGCGATACGAAAAAAGTTTCGTACAAAAGTTTCTTGGACTTTCTTAAACATTTAAAATATTATAATTTTGTTGAGTGTCTCAAAAGTGTCCCCCCCCCCCCCTCCGACATCAACTTTGTTATTTAAAAAACCACCCTGAATATTTCGACATTTTTGGAATCCTTGGTTAAAATCAAGGTCACTTTCTTAAGAAATTTGCATAATTTAGGCAGAAATTGAGGTTATGTGTTTTTTTTTTCATATTTTGATTGCCCCATATAAAATTGTGTTGTGACTCTAATGATCCAGGTATTGCAACGAAAATTTCAACACAAACTAAAGAGATGATGCAATACTCAATCAGTTTGACAGATACAGCTTATACAGGGTGTCCTAAATAAGTGGTGCATTTTGGCTAATTCAATTAACAAAATCTCAAGATTTTCAAATGGAACACCCAATATTTTTATTCAGATATTAATTCTAGGATAAAAGAAAGGTGAATTTGTAATTTATCTCATATTTAAACTTTTCTTACTTTTTGAGATATTCGAAGTTTAAGAAAACATCCGTATAAATTCTGGTTGAATTTAAAGCTGCCCACATTAGGTCATTTGTTGGCAATATTAGGTATTTTTTAAATAGCAAAGACATGACCCTACTTCTTTTAAGGATATAATACTCCAGATATACGAATAAAATCTATTGATAACAACATAGATTTAATAAAACTCCGGAATTCATATTTAAAGAAAATACCAAACAAAAAAAATTAATAATTCAACTATATAGGCTAACTAATCAAGGAAACAAATTTGAATAAATAAATCTATAAAAAAAGTTAACTAAAAAGTGTTAATTCAGTCCATAAAGTTTAGTTAAAAATGTTCTTCTTAAAATACGTTTCAAACAAAAACAACAAAGAAATATCAAAATATTTAAAGATATAGTTGACTATGACATCACAATATTCTTTTTGACGCATTAAGGTATAAACAAACTTTGACATTTCTGTTTTTTTTTCGTTGTTTTGCATATTTCTATACACGATTTTATATGGGACAACCAAAATATGAAAAAAAAATAAACACATAACCTCAATTTCTGCCTCAACCTTGCAAAATTCGAATAGGAATTTCTTAAGAAAGTGACCTTTATATTAACCAAGGATTCAAAAAATGTCGAAATATAGAGCGTGTACCATTTAAAATAACCAAGTTGATGTCGGAGGGACACTTTTAGACACCTTGTATCAACAAAATAATATTTTAAATCTTCAGGTGAGTCTAAGAAACTTTTGTACGAAACTTTTTTTCGTATCTCTTAAGGGTTTCCAGAAAGGCTAATTTTCGAGGAAACCAACTAACCAAGGTGCGAGGTGGTCTCGGTCGCAACAAAATGCTGCTGTAAGAACTTTGTCTAGCGAAGAACTAAATATGTATTTTCAAAACACTTTTTTATTTATCTAAGTCAGTTCCATTATTCTAAAATAGGTTTCTCCTTAGTCCTAACCAAGCGGCAACACCGTTTTATAAGTGGATAAGAGACTCCATCGACTGGCGTGACGTCTTCAAAGGGAACCGGATACTCGGGATGCAACACATTTGTGTGTCGTTTCCTCTCTATCGCCTTTTTTACAAGTTTTGTTTGTGATACGCTCGGCTGAGCAAGTTCATAAAACTTTTATTTTATCAAACCCCAGCTGTCCTATAAATTTTTATCCGCAAGGCGAATACGAGAGCGGTATTTTAAGTGCAGAAACTGAAATTAATCGTTGACCGCCAACGCATTTAAATTTTTTGCGCTCGTCTTGTAGATAATACCCAATTATCTTTATGCGTAATTTCTACGTTGCAAAAAGTTGCTGCAATTTGTTGCCCGAATATTTACATGCTAAGATTCTGCACAAATAAAGACAATCTCATAAATGCAAAGAAATTGACTTACCTTTACATAATTCTTCAAATTTTTTTCTAGCCCCATTTTCAAATATATTAAAATACCACGAAAGTAAATTGTCACTTCACAACAAAAAAAACTTTTTACAAAAAATTTGTTGCAACGTCCGGCGTCCATGAGAACGGCTCAAGGTCGTGCAACGTTTGTAGTCGAGGGAACAAATTGTGTTGTGAAAATGGGGCTTTCGATCAGGGATGGCTTCTCTTATATGTACTTTTATGTAAAACCACGCAAGTCCACGTATTTGGACTACATAATGAAAAACTTGAACCGCGCTTAAAACATTACTTGAAGAGATTGTTTTATGAACGTCGGAAGTATAGCCAATTATTCTACTTATTATTTTAAAAATGACTGATTTTTTTTGTACAAAAATTACTGTACTGTACTACTGAGTCTGCCAAAATTGAAAAAATCCCTTTACTGGGTGTTTTACATTCGACTCTCATCATTGGGATTTCAGAAACCGTAAGAGAGGTGCGTATTAAATAGCTGGCTAATATTACAATAAAAAAATGGAGTTATCTTTATTGCTTTCGGAAATTTTGTTTCTTCGGGTTTATTTTAAAATTTTAAGAACATCACATACTTGGACTTTTTAAGCTTCATCCTTTGTGGAATTAAGAAAATTCAAAGTAATGTTCGACATTTCGTTTTGCTTACCGTTTCCACGATCTCATTGCTGAGAGAATTTAAAACACCCGGTAAGTATAAAGTATATTAAAAATCGGAGTGATAAGAAAATGTAGGCTTTGAATGTGTCCTCATTTTGGAAGCTTTTGAGGGGTAACAAGAAGCACGTTTGAATGACTTAAACAATTCATAATTTTTAATAATTATATGCCTATAATTTGGTAGACAATCAAATATTTGAGAAATGCAGATTGTATTCTTTTGTATTCTTTATATCATTTTTTTGGGAAAGAATATAAAGTGTCTTTATATCCTTTTTTTGGGAAAAAATATAAAGTGTCCTAACAATTAAAATAAGCAAAATTTACATAAGCTAAAGTTGGGAAGGTAATTGTCTAAAATTGTTTCTTTCTTTTCCATATAACTGGAGCAACTTTTGATATTTTATATTTGATAATTATTTACTAATTTCTTGACTGACTACCAATTTATCAGCCTCAGACTAAATAAAATTATACTCTAAGGTATTACTAACCTCGATCTTGCCTTTTTTTTGTTATCAAAGTATTAATTTGATATTATTAGGCTGTTCTAAGGAGTGTATATTTAATTAGTGAACATGTATGAAATCATGTAAAGATGAAATATGTCTTAACTTAAAATGCGACGCTTTAATTATATTTACTAACGTAACAACCAAGCTTGAGGTTTAAGAAAGAGAGAGAGAACGGAAGAAACAAACTTACTTCTTTGCTGTGTTGGAAAATTATCCTCATTATAAGCACCTTGTAACATAAATATCACCATCCAAACACGAGTCAAAATGTTTGCCATATTTCACGAAACAACCGAATTCATGCTGCACAACCACAATGTATAGAAAAAGTTCGACCAGAACGATCACAGTGCAGCTCGCTTACGGTCGACTATTCTGTTTTGCTTTTGTTTGTTGTTCCTATTCCACAGTCGTCCCTTTACTCATAAATTGGAGGTCGCCGTTTTGGTTTGTAGGACTGCGCCATCTTATTGTGGGTAGACTTATGATACTTGGAGGAATGCTAATGGTTGATTGTTTTCTGTTCTACTGAGGGAGCTTTATATTTCTTATATGAGGGAAATAAAATTTAAAACCAAAACAATATTTAGTTAAATGTGAATATTTTATAATGTTTTGTAACTTTCTTGAAAATTTTCATGCAAGCATGAGTCCCGCAGAAAACTTTTGGATCCTTTCAAAACTTCTAAAATATATCCTTATAATTAGTTAGCATTGATTTTGGTATTATGAATTATTCAAGATTTTAACAAGCAAGTAATAGCAAAAAATATACAAAACCATTTCATATCGAGAAGTTCTGTCATAGTATTTTGTACAATGTAATTTTGATTCACCTTATATTAACCCACGCCATACGTTGTATTATATATATGTTGTAGAAGATTATTTCAGATAATAAATATAATACAAAATTTTTGCAGCCTTTGAAAATAAAATTGTTAATAGGTATGTTAATCATTAAATTTTGAATTTTAAACATGCAAGTTGAATTTGAAAACGAATGAATTAAAAAATATGGCACCGATTTAACTTGAATTGAATACAATCTTAGTCTTAGGTGAGCTACGACAGGGACTTTCCTAAGTTGTGCATTTTTCCTGTATAGATATACATGTACACAAATTTTAACGTTTTTTTCAAAAGCTAAGAAAGCAAAATAAATAGACAATGTAGTGGCGCTATTGCGGCATTGATATTTTCTTATATATAGGATGAATTTTCCGCGCAAACTTAAATTAAATGCGATAATACCTTGTCGGCGAAACGAAACTAATCTAATTCTTTTAGAGGGCCTTATTTTCACGACATGAAATAATCTTGTCTATAAGACTGTCGTAAAAACTGCGTATTTTATGCCGACGTCATTATTTTTATTTTGGTTAAATCGTCAAATGCTCTTTTTTAAGGCACCTCACGATCTTTTGTTATAACGTAACTATTATCAAAGTTCAGTACTAATTACAGACAAACTTATTCATCTATTGCCAAGTTGGGACTGTATGTTATGTGTACAACATGGTTACTTTAAATCTGTGTTTTATATTATTTTTATGCTGAGCTGAGAAAATTCTGTCCTGCGGCATCAAGTAGTCAAAAAATGAAGCATAAGGTGTGATAAGACGCAAATAACTTCTTTTCTAAAACTCACATAAGTTTAGCACTGCTAATACAATTATAAACAGGCGAAACTGCTCGATAATAATGGGAAGCTAAACAAGTTATAGGATCAAGCTTACACAAGTAGATTGATCAAATATTTTTCAAAAAGTCTTAAGTGCACATCTCCTTGGCCCGGAGATTCTCGATTTTCGACCTTCAGAAGAAGAGAAGGAGACTTGCTCCTCTGACTTTGGCCGAAGGATTCTGCTCGAATAACCCAAGAACAAACTTCAGTTTTTTGAAAAACGTCATTTGTATGTTATATTTATATTACATATTATGCACTTTGTCATGCATTTTATTAATAAGTGTTTTTACGAAAAAATAATGAAATTTTATACAGTGGTATGCATTTTTATTTCTCAAAAGCGCTAGCAAATTGTTAAGATGAAATTGGTTCATAAGGATATTGATAAAGTTGGCGAGGGGTGAGTAATATATTTAATATAAATTTAAGGTTATATTTAATTCTAGCCTTATGGCATTACTTTTATTTTCTATTTATTTTTTTAATGTAAAAAGGATATTTTTGACCTAACAAGAACTGTTTGCTATTAGTCTAAATATTAGTTTATAATGAATTGTTATTGATTAGTGTTATTCTCAGTTATGTGACCCTTATCCCTGAAGACCCCGAAGATATGTGGCATGCTTATAATCTTATATCAGAGGGTGATTCAGTGAAAAGTTCAACGATACGTAAAGTCCAGAATGAATCATCCACAGGTTCTTCAACGTCCAATAGGGTGAGAACTATGCTTAGAATTTCAGTAGAATCTATTGACTTTGATACAAAAGGATGCATGCTTCGCTTAAAAGGGAGAAATATTGAAGAAAACCAATATGTGAAGGTAATATAAAATTAAATGATTTTTCTTGAGGGTATTTCAATTAATAATTTCATATGCATTAACTATTTCCTTTAGATGGGTGCTTATCATACTCTAGATCTCGAGTTAAACCGTAAATTTACTTTATGTAAAAATGAGTGGGATTCTGTAGCTTTGGACAGAATAGAAATGGCTTGTGATCCGGCTAAGTCTGCAGAGGTAGCGGCAGTAATCATGCAAGAAGGATTGGCTTATATTTGTTTAATTACATCAAGCATGACTATTGTAAGGGCAAAAATTGATGTTACTATCCCCAGGAAAAGAAAAGGTTTTGTCCAACAACATGAGAAGGTATAATAGTTTTGGAGCATTTTTCATCTATTAGCCTGTTTTGGCCAAATTAACTAGTAACATTCATGTTATAGGGATTGACCAAATTCTATGATAATCTAATGCAAGCAATCTTACGACACATCGATTTTGAAGTTATTAAATGTGTACTGGTTGCTTCTCCAGGATTTGTCAGAGACCAATTTTTTGAATATATGTTTCAAATGGCTATTAAGACTGACAACAAAATTTTACTAGAGAATAAGTCTAAATTTATGTTGGTACACTCTTCTTCTGGTTTCAAACATTCTCTTAAAGGTATACCTTTTTCTCGTAAGACGGTTCATGTTGTAATCTCTATATTATTTGTAGAAGTACTACAAGATCCGGCAGTGATCAACAAAATTTCAGATACAAAAGCTGCAGGTGAAGTTAAGGCATTACAAAATTTTTATACAATGTTACAGTGCGAAGCTTCAAAAGCTTTTTATGGCAAAAGGCATGTTGAAAAGGCAAATGAAGCTCAAGCTGTGGAGACGCTCTTAATTTCTGATAGCCTTTTTCGGTAAGATGATTTTATATCTGACTATAAAATAATTAATTATTTGTATATAGGGAATTTAAAAATTTCAAAAATAAGTTGTGGCTTTTCAATTTGAGATAAATTAATAATAAATTTAAAAGTTTTTATTTCTATATTGTTCATAGAACTTTTTAACCAAATAAGTGAACCACAATAGCCTTTAAGTAGCTCAAGCTAAGGCAAGGGTCGGAGACATTGACAATATCAACTTTGAGAAGGGTAGTGATGGACAGTTCTTTCATTTTGTTTCTAATGCTTTAAGTGTTTGTATGAACGAGCTGAAGACTTGTTCCTTGACTTGAGTATTTTTGGATTCAGCTTCTGTTAGTTTGCTGCTTTTTTGTCAAAAAGGAAGTACATACTGCAATTTTGCTAACTACAGTTTTTTTAATTTACTTTATTTTCTTTTTTAAATAAAATTTCCACAGATAGGTGGTATTACAGTATTACAAATCTTTTAATTCCAAAATTACTGGACAATATCTCAAGATGGGTACTCAACATAAAGTATTTATTTTTCCTGATTACACAAATTCCTTTTGTAATGTATTTTCCTAACTTTTTGAAAGTAGCATATGCATACGAAATAAATATGGAAAATTTTTTATGCTTTTAAAAATTGTAATAATTTATTAACTTTTTGGTCAAAATACAGTTTTTGGACATACTCTCATTTTAATTTTTATTACAAAACAATTGTATTAATTTAGCAGAAAATGGGGGTTTTCTACATTGATTTTTTTTTTTTTCATAAACACATAGGTGAAAAATAATTTCAAAATAAGCTTTAGTGTTGGGTAGTGTAGTATACAATGTATTCATGTTCTTCATAGAAAAAAAGGTTTTAATGAGACCATACTTGATTTTATATTTTAATAAGATGATGCCAAGTTGTTGAGAAATAATAGAAATTATTCGGATAGTCACATGGAGTTTTCTAAACCATGGCCAACTTGACGAACTTTAATTTTCCTCCGAGTTTTTTTAAATTCTCTAACTATTTTGTAGTATTCACCTCTCTATCAATTTTGTTAAGGTTTCACTATACCCATCGACTTAAGTTTTTTGGTAATATTACGGTTTTGTTAATTATTTATAAAAATATGTTAATGTTGTGTAGTGGATTGTGAATATACAGCATTTTAGTATTAAAAAATAATATATTATGCAGGAAGTTTGCTAAATGCCATTTTGGTCTGGAATTTCCTTTGAAACGAAAAAACAGAAGATGGTTAGGCAATCGCTGTTGTGGGAACGTTTTCGTTCAAGGAAAAATAAAGAATTTGGAATATTGTCATTTTGACAAATAATAATTTTCTTTTGCTCATTTTGCATTGACTTTAAAGTTTATTTGTAAAGCGATTTGATTCTTTGGATTCGTTTGCCAAATGCTGGGCGGCACTGTCGCTGTGTTTCACCAGCACTAAGTCAATATATTCTTTAGATTTACTACAGCTGTTGTCAAGTTTTCAAATTCATATTCCTTTGCAATTTTTTATTTTTTTATAATTTTTCATTTTTTATTTTTGACTTATTAATATTAATTGAAAATGAATCCGCTGGGTCCTAACCGGAACGGTTTTTTTTGTCTCATAGATAGATAACCTTAGTTTTTAATTTTAATTATACTTTCAGATGCCAAGATGTTAAACTACGAAAACAATATGTTAATTTGGTAGACTCTGTTAGAGAATCTGGCGGAGATGTCAAAATTTTTTCTAGCATGCACGTATCTGGAGAGCGTAAGTATTGTTAATGCTGTTGAAATAAATTTTGGTAAAATTTGGTTCTAGTATTACTATTACAAAAAAAGTTCAGTTTTTTTCTTTTTAATTTATTTTTTGTTTTTGGAATGTAGTATTATATTATGGAAATCATTTGTCGATTTAACTTTAAAATAATTTCGCTTTTTTTGTTTGTGTATATAGAATGTGTTTTTAGAATTGGAACAGTTATCTGGTGTAGCTGCCATCCTTCGTTTCCCAATGCCTGAACTTGAAGATAGTGACGAGGAGGATGAAAATAGTTAATTTATTATTTGGTATACAATTTTGAACTATGTACATTTTTACAAATCTCAGTATCAGTGTATTGATACATGGCTTTGTTATTACTCTTGTTCCGTGTACATCTTTTTAAGCAAATATTTTTGTTGTTATATTTTATTAAGTGTAATTACATGTACATTTTTGAAATGTTTTATTCCCTTTAAGTCAATTCAATTGAAACAAAACATTTCAAATTTCTAACTGGAGAGAAAGCTGTTTTAAAATAACTTATTATGGGGCAAAGTATGAGAAGACTAATTGTTTCTTATATAACTTTTTTTCCGTTGAATTCATTGGACTGGATAAAGCCAAATTCAGTGGGTAGACAAATATCTATGACATTAAAAGCATGATCAAATAAGTACATTAAACATATATAATTAACAAATATCCAGAAATAAAGATAGAAAAAAAAATATAAATACACTCAAAATATAACAAATAAGATGCATTATCTGTTTATAAAACATCAAAAAATTCCTGATAGAATAATTAGAAATATGAAATGAAAATTTTTAGAACAGCGCATATTTTTATGTGGACATTTGGAATTGCTGAGACCAAAAGTGTGTTCATAGATGGACCAAAGAAAAAGTATTTTTATTACAAAATAGTCACATACTTTTAACAAAAACAAAATCACTTTTTGTTTTTAGTTTCTACATCTGCTTTAGTTTTTTTTCTTTGAATTATGGATTGTTTCTCATCATGCAATCTTCTTTTCTTCCTTAATAACCATATCTCCTTAGCCCTCTGCTTTTTACCTTCCATCATGCTCTTGTAAAGTTTTTTGTGTTTCTTTTTTACCATTTTTTCTCTTAGACGATATTCTTGCCTTTCTTGGCGGCTTTTTTCCCATGCCACCTCTTTATCTATTTTACCAGTGGATACTGAAAGCTTAGGTTTCTGTAATAGAAGTAGAGAACTTAGAGAACAATATTTTCCTACTACATCCAATGTTACCTTACCTTCTTTGAGTGGTTGTGCTGATCTTCATCTGCAGACTCTAATTCATCATCTTTTGCCTTGGTATTATCATCTTTGCTTTTTAGATATAGTTGCGCCTCCTCATCACTATCAACGCTGTCATACTCTTCACTGTTTGCAATTTCTTTATCTTTTTTATGTTGCTCTTCCAGGAGTGATGGATCATATAAAGCTTTTTCTTCTGGAGGAATGTACTGTTGGTCCCTTTCTTTGTCAATAAATGGAGACAAATGTGGAGGTAGAATTTCACCTATAAAATACCTGTTGACAGGAAGAATTTCTCTAGCATTTACACAATCAAAAATCCATTGGGGCTGAATATAATATCTGGATATATATTGATTGGACATTGAAGGTCTATCTACAATTTGATGAGTTATGCTTTCATCATTTTCATCAAAGGTGGATCCCACAAAAAGACTTTTATCCCAAGACACTTCTCCTCCAAAACACCTTATTATAAACACTAAAGGTTCTCTTGGTACTTCCCGATTCAAGAAAAACTTTAACCCTTTAAACAAAATTTTAAGATGTTTTATTTTTTCAGCTTCCAACTTTATTTCTGCAATTTTTTCATCAGCATCATCAATACTGAAGTTATCGATTTCTATTTCGTCTTCGGCTACTTCACTTACGGATTTGGAAAGAGAAAAATTTAAAGCGGCAACTCTCTCTGCCACAAATGAATCTTCATCTACTAATATTTTTTCATTATCCAAGATGTTGCCACTTGAAAACTTTGGTGGGTAATATAAGTTCAAGGTATGGTATAACCTATAATTCACAAATCCCAACATTACTGTGTAAAACTCAACAAACGTAGCCATTATTTTAAAATCAACTTCAGATTTCTGCTGTGGTTCAAATGCGAAGTGATGGGGCACTATCCATGTTACAGTTTGACCCTTAATATCTGCTTGATAGTAATAACCTAAAAAATAATTAATCTTGTTAAAACAAGAAATATTAGAAAATATACAAAAAATGCACTGATTATTTCCAGGGTAAGTAGAATATTTAAAATAATGTCAGTTTGGTGGAATATGTATCAAAAAATGTCTCCCTCAGAAGATAGGGCCTTTTTTTCTGATATAGTTTGAGATACTTAAGGGAAGTTTACACCACAAATACCTTTGCGTAGCAAAACTTAGTGCAGACAATGTTTCAGTTCAAAAAAGTATTTTGACTTTGTAGGTGTTTCTGAAACAATCATGATAGTTCCACAGATGTTATTCATAAAATTCTCTTTACTGCGATGACAAATTGTATAACTACGGGGATATAGAGGCTCTGCCTAATGCTGAAGCAACTGTGAAGAAAATTTTGAGGTCATTAACATGCGCATGTGCGAGATTTCAGATTTTTACCAATGACTTGGTGACCTTCTATAGATAGTGGCACAATAGATCATACTAAGCACAAATACAAAGAAAGTAAGTACCTCTGGTGATGGGCAGCACATTAAAACGTAAATAATGCTATCTCCCTTGTTACAATTAAATATATTTTTGGTCTGAATTTCATTTAGGTATCTTAAACCATTAAAAAAAATACAAAAAACGATTTCTTACTACCTCTTCTAAAGAAAGAGTTTTCGGGCACATGTTTACTAACCAAACTAAGGTAATTTTTTAATATTCTATTTACCCTAAAAATTAGCAGACCTATTTTTGAAACAAGCTGTAATTTCAATACATACCTTTAATTGATATGAAAACCTTTCTTAGTGCCTTAGCTTCAATAACTGCATGCAAAAATTCCAAAGTTAGCCTTCGACATAAAGATGACTGATCTCTTGGTACATGAGCCAAGGAGGGAAATGTGCTGAATAAAAAGCAAAGTGTCAAACAATCGTCAAGGTCGCGCAAAGCATCTATAAAGGAAGGGTATCTTTCCTTCACAATATGGTCTAGCTTTAGAGTAGGATGATTGTTTAAATATTTGTGTAACTTTTCAAAATCCCTCAACGCCCTGGCTCGACCCACTTTCTTATTGAATATTTTGTAATCTCGTAGTCTCCAAATTATTGGCTCGTGTAGTAAGAACTGTATATCTTTTACATGGTATAATGTCTTTATTCCAGTATGCCCCTTCTGAGCTCGTTTTCTGTTTCTAGGCTCTCTAGGGTATATACCTTTCAATATACATAGTCTTCGGAAATCATTTAAAGAGAGTTGTAGTTTTTTTAAAGCAGCTTTGCGAGTCAGAAACTGGGCCCCCTCGCCAGTAGAATACTGGAATTAGAAAAGTAGTAGTTCTATGAACCGAAAAATTCTGTCAAACTTGCCTTTTTCTTTCGTTTTGCAACCATATCTATCAAATTTTTAAAACTGGTTCAAGCGTTTAATTTAAAGAAAATTTCTACAACACTTAACCCTCTTCTATTGTCATTTTCACGTGGAATTCATATCTCTTCCTTTTTTCAGCACAGACAACTAAACAATGAGGTAGTGGTATTCTGTGATTTCAGTTTACTTTCTTCTTCACTAGTAAACAACGTGGAGCAAATTAAGTAAGGATAGCGCTATGTGAGTTACGTGCATGCTTTAAAGGCATAAGTGAGTGTTGCCGGAACCGCTGTTTTTACGATCCACGCCTGTTGGAAGCCGAATGGGCCAGGATAGGTGGTAGAAGCAGCGGGAAAAATTTCCTCGACATATGTCGTATAGAGATATAGAGGCGTTGCCAATGCTAATAATAAAGGAACTTATGAAGCAACCACGAAAAGATTTTAAGAAGGTGCATACAACAAGCGCATGCGCGATATTAAAAATATTTTTTAACCTATTACAGTAATCAACAACCAACATGGCCGCTGACCGATTGTCAATAAGTTTAGATGCCTAGATATCGATAAATGTTCTGGCAAAACGAGTTAAGTGTGTTTAACTCGTTGTTTAGAAAGAAAATCGGTCAAACTGCAGATCAATAGGTGAAATATAGAGGCATGCGAGGAAAATCGTTCCTTTCTATACGAAAAAATCCATGCCTTATGTTATCCATGTCGTGGCTAATAACGCTTTTTTTGCTCTTTTGCCCCTTAAACATTTTAGGCATACATTTTAGGGCTACCTTGAATATTAATTTACTTAGGGATTAATGTAGCGACTACGGAACCCTTGACTGTGTGGAATTCAAGACAAGGCTAGAAAACAAGTGGGTTGATCTTTGTTACAATCCGCAAAAGTTATTATTCTATATTTTCATGATTTAATTGTTTGAGGATGGTTATATTATGCTCTCTAATAGTTGGGGGTCACATTTATTTTCTTTTAAATTTTGTAAATGTATTCCTTTAAATATTTGAAATACTTATTTAGGTAAGCAACATTTGAAAAACATATTCTATTGTCTATTTCTATTGTCGTTTTGTTTGTTTTCAAAATACATTTCGTTCGGTTGGAGTTTTAATAAAAACAACTAAAAAATAAGGTGTAAGGAATGCAACCATAGCCATGGTGTCAGGAAAGGTTTTTGCTTATAGTAAAATCTTGTTGTATCATCCGTTCTTAATTCGTTATGTACTACACAACAGAAATAAATGAAATAATAAGTATTTGGTCCTTTTTTTAATATGAGTGTGGAGACATTAAAATATCCTTGCAAAACTCCATGGTGTTTTAATAAATATTTTTCTCCAAACACTTTGAAAGGTTACAGTAATAAACCTTTTCATAAGCTTATCTCAAAAAATAATTTGTATTGTAAATGGAAAAGTATATTGGAGAGCATATAAATGCTCAAAATGGTCATAACTTTTATGTTTGTGGAGATGATTTTTCTCCCAAAGCTATCTATTTTTATTCTGTAGACTGAATTTTGGTGCATTTTCCATACATAACAATTTTAAACAAATTAACACTGAAGTAGATTCTAAAATGTCAAATATTATTTTTCAAAATTTTATAAACTCAAATTCGATATCCCAAAATTTTTTGTAGATGCAGTAGTAATGATTATAATAAATCTAAGCCGATATTGTCAAAGTGTTACTTTAAGCGGAATGTTTTTATAGAATCCAGAGAAAAAATGTATGATGTCAAAAGAAATATTTTTTTCCCAGTTTTCTAAATTAAAATCTTTATTGCATAAGGAAAGACAAATTAAAAACTTTGATTCAGGAAAATTCGACTTTGGTGAAAATGAAATTACTGTTAACCTATACTCACTATTGGTTGGTCATGTCCATATGGAAGATAATGTATTGCCATTTAGTATTATGTAGAAACGGGTATGGCATAGTCATATATTTTTTCAAGTCATATTATAATCTAATAGGTATATAATATAATTTAAATTGCTGAACTTTTTAGGTATTGGAATAGATGGCTTTTGTTTTTGTTTGCATGCATGCATCAATCTCATGGACCACTTGTACAAACTTGTATTAAATCTACCATCTAAAAGGATTTTGCTAGAAATATAATTTCTCTTATATATTTAATTATAGCATATATACCTGGCGTTTCAGCGGAAACCTCTTCGATCTGGATTCAAACTAATGTTGGCAGTGGCAGGGGATAAAATAATTTCAAGATCCGGCTAAAATGAACACCAACCCTATAGATTATTGCTTTTTTGGATTCCCTGGAAAATTCTAGGCATACTTCGTGCAATATGCTCTATTTAAATTTTACCGTTCCTGAGATATTTAATATTTTATATCAAAAATGACGTCTTCAGACCTAACAATATCGGTAATTTTTTGTACCAAATAGATAATGGTCTGTTAATAGTATATTTTCTACTCCCGTCTGTAAAATACCTAATTACGCACCGATCTAGCGTGCGGGAAGCGTCGCTTTACCACGTCACTTTCGTTTCCCACAAATCCGAGCCACTTCGGACATTTCCGGGTTTTTACCGCGCGGGTTTGGGAGCAATCGGATGTTTTGGAAGATATTTCCTACGCTTTGAATTTTGACGTTTCTATACATTCACTAACAAGACCGTCAGAATTGACAAACGTCAAAATTCAAAGCGTGGGAAATATCTTCGAAAACATCCGATTGCTGCCAAATTCGTGCGGTAAAATCCTGGAAATGTCCGAAGTGGCTCGAAACTGACATGGTAAAGTGACCCTTCCCGCACGCTAGATCGGTGGGTAATTAGATATTTTACAGGCGGGAGTAGAAAAAGAAATTTAGTGCGTTATTTCAATTCTTAACATTGAAAAAAACTGGTGAAAATCAGTTTTTTTAAACTAGAAACCACCAATTTTTATACTTCTATCTTCTTTAGAATTAAAAGTTAGCACTAGTTTGTATTAGGTTTTTGAGATATTGCCGTTTTAATTTTTTTTTTGCTTGAGTTCAATTCAGTTAATCTGAGTTCTCTATGATGAACAATAACGACTCAGTTGAACCTTATATGACTAACTAACTAACCAAAACAATTTAGTAAATTTATTTTAATTCCAAAATTTATCATTGCCAAGTAGAAGACTCTGTAAATTAACAAGTGAGCAAATTATTATTATGTTCAACCTTTACTGTGGCCTTCCATATTAAAACATTTTCTTCTAACTCGCTCATTGATAACTATGTTTTATTCTCTAAGAAACTAAATCTTGTGATCTATTTTCGGCCATAGTTTTTTTTATTAGATCACACCTAGACAAAAATAGCCTTATCAGAAATTCGAAGTCTAAATTGTATAACAAAGGCACCAAGATTTTTCAATGGCACTTATTCTGAACAAAATAAAAGTTTGAAAACGCACAATTTTACAAATTAATGAGACCTTTGGCAGAAAAAATGTTAAATTACTTCCGAAGTAAAATTTGTTGTTGATGTTGACATTCCTTAAAAAAATAGTTCGTTTGCTATCATTTGCGATTCAGTCCTTTTCATGTTTTCTCAGAAAAATAAGCTTTAAATACAGTCCAATAGTTTTTAAATCGTTACGAACACAATATCTCTATTGTGCACTATATACACGACTAATAATTTATTCCCGCCGACTATCGTGCCTGCTCGCAAAAAGTTAGACATCCAGTCATTGTCAAGTACGCGAGTACTATCGTTTGCAAGTGTTGTGAATATTTTTTCAGGCAGCCTCAGGAAAAGGCAGACCTTGTTGTGGATTTGGCGTGTCCAGATCCAGCCGCAGAATGTTGCACTTACATTTAGAGAGAATAAAAATTTTAAGTGGGCACAGCGTCTGAAGAGAAACAAATAGCCTGCCAGACGAAATAGAGAAAATTTTCTGAAACAAAAATCTGCGATTTAATGAAGAAAATGATATATAGGCTGGTTCAGGGTGGTTGGCGAATGTAAACGTTTATGGGAGAAATGTTTTTAGTAGAATAAATAAACTTAGTTCACAGTTTGGAAAAGAAAATATTTATTTCCAAAACATAAAACAATATAAAAATGCATTGTGATAAATGACTAAAACCTACTTCGCATGAGCGCGCGCGTAGGTATCCACTCTGAAATTGTTTCTATCCAGTTAGTATTTACATAATTCTTGCTTTGGTGTGTTCCAGCTATCACAAAAAATACAAAAATTAAAAATTTGTTCTAAATTTTTATAAAGCCAAAAACTCTAGGTGAACTAATTTTGTTACAAAATATTTCAATGATATTTTTGTAAAAAAATATTGTTCAGTCTATTTGTACACCGAATTTTGTTAATTCATTGAAGCTGTTTTTTTCATTTAATATGTATTAAACTACAATTATTGTTAGCTATACACTTATTGAGTTGATACAAATTTAATCAGCGCCATATATGATGGCTACAGTCTTGTGAACTTACATCTATTTATACATATATTTACAAGAGTTAGAGATCAATTACAATTATTCTAGACAATCCTTTGATTTACAACATGCCCAGATATTCATTGTTACTACACTGCTACAATTTTACTGGGATCAACTTTTACCCGAATAAACATAACGTCGTCCTTCATGAAATTTCTTTTCTTCAACATTTCATGAGAAACAAATTTTGGAAATCCAAATCCCAAAGAATCCGGCTCTTTGCTTGGTCTTTGGAAATTTTTCCACGTTGGATCGGGGATAAAACTTTCCACTATATTGCAAGCTTTCTCTAAGCAAGTCGATTGGTCAAATAATGTAAAAGACACTGAGTGTGAAAAAGGCCATCTTAGTAAAGCATCATATTCTCCTGGCAAAATTTTGATGTATACGGATATGTGGCTGCCTTCGCCTGCGCCATTGCCATTGGGAAACAGTGAAGCCTGAAAAAATAAATTGGCTTTGTAATTTTTTTCAAATCTTAGGGGAAAACAAACAAATTATAAGCAACTAAATGAGATAATTACCTGGAGTTTGTAACCATATTGACTAGTATAAAAAGGAGGTGAAACGAGTTCCATCCCCTCCTTGGATTTGGCTTCTGTAATTTTTGAAGAGAAGTCGCTGATTTTCCATATTAGAGTGCCTGAATAATTGAGCGACAATCTTGACAACGCGCTTTTCAAAGATGTGATTTGGTGTTGCTGCTTGGACACTATACCACACATCAATTGCAAGTGCTGTTGGCAATTCTCTTCCAAGTGTTTCTCCATAGAAAATCTTGGACCCTTAAACCTGCATCCCGCCTCTTTGAAAGTACAGCTGTGAACTGAAATTGTACATTCTTCCTTTAAATGGGATTCCAGCTCTTCTCTGGCCAAGACGTTTGCTTCACATCTGTTAGGGCACTGAATTGGCACTCTTCCGCATTTTAGATGATGCGCGGCCAAGGTGTCCGCTACGAATTCTTTGGTACAATATCGACATGGTAAGAGTCTTTTCGAACATTCCGTGATTTTGTGCTGACTGAGATGACGTCTATGTATCTTCACACCGCATTTGTTTTCGCAATATAAAGGTTCAAAACCGCAATTGCCTACATGGTTCTGAAAACAAAAACTATTGTCATTTTGGAATCCCAAAATTCATTTGAAATAGTAAAAGGAAAAATATAAGATTGTTTGGAAAAAAGTTTTGGACAAGAGTCAAAGGTTTTGATATTAACATTTAAGAAAGTGGCCGTAAAAAAATTCAAACATTTCTGCATTCCATAAATATTATGTAGATGTAAAACAGTTACCAAGTTCTTCAGATTTTTTTATTTGATTTGCGCTGATGGTCGGTGGTAGATGTTTACAAAGAACGAAAATAGATTTTTTATTGAAATTAAAATACTTTGAACGACGTGTTGCTTCTAACAATAACATATGGCACGTCATTATCTTAAAGGACACATCTATTTGTTATTATATTTTTGAGTTCATTATTTTTTTATTTTTTCAACTAAAATATGACACCGCTAAAACAGTGAATTAGCTGCCATTTAAACTTATTGAAAGCTGAAATTTTGTTTGTAGTTCACGAAAGTTACAAATTATTTTAGTATTTTTTGCATCAGAAAGAGTGAAATAATCTGTCTTACGGTCTCACCTCTAATGAATGTCCCGTGAATTCCTTGTTGCAAAATTCGCATCTCGTTCTTCGCTGCGGACAGGTGTATTTTAAATGGTCTTCCATAAGGACTCGCGGAATTTGCGCCCCACATTTGCTTGTGCAAGGAATGGCATCGTGTTTGCAAGTATTTAAATGAGCCTGAAATTAGGAAATTACAAATGAAATAAGTAACTAAAATTCTTCCGCTGAAAAATATCAATAAGAAAATTTTATTCAAAGTTAATGTATGTTAAATCCCACCTTTAATTTTCTTAATTCATCGGACCACTTGCATCCTTCCTTGTGGTGGATACAGTACACTACTGAGCTCATAATAGCCTTTTCAGACTCAGGATCGGAGTAAATCTGAAACAAAGAGGAATATATACATAAAAATGGTTCGGAAATAACTTGTATTAATTTAAATATATATTCCATAACAATTTTAAAAGTTGGTCTCTGGATATCAAAAACTAGGCATTTTTTGTAAGTACAACTTATATAATGTAAAACATGCTTTGTATTTAAGTTTTTTCAGTGAAGTTTTTGTGAAATCATAACGTATTTTTAAAATTGTGTTAGATTTTTGAGCATTTTAATTAATAATAAATAAATAACAATCGAATTAAACTTTTAAAAAATGCCAATATAATAAATAAACTATTTTCAAGTTATGTATAGCTTGGCATGTAAGGTATTATGTTGACTATAAGAGTCATATATGAGCATTCGTCTTATAAAATTAAAAACGACGGACAAGATTTTTCCCATAACTTGCAATTCTTTCCTACACTGAAACTTGGAAGCGAGATGAAAGGTGTTATTGTTATTTGCCAAATTAACGCTATCTCTGATATAGCCCATTCAGTTCAACACCCTCACATTATTATTGACAAGTAACGTGTCTCGGAAAATGTTTTGTGGTGAAATTTAAACTGCAAAACATAACAATGCTACTCAGACGCTCTCTACAGCCTGTCTTTGTTACCACTTGAGGTTTCCCTTATAATTTGTATATATAAACGTTATATGGATTAACTTTACATAACAATAATACTACAAGTTTTTAAGGGACATTTTTTCAAGGGTATTTTGGTTAAAATTCACTACACGTCTCAAATAAGCAGGTTTTCATAGTTAACAAATTCTATGTTGAAATTTGCATATTATATTAAATGGAAAACGAAACTCAAAAAAAAAGAATAGAAGGCAAAACAAATATACAAGAAAAATCAGAGACGAGTAGTATTGAAGTCATAAAACGCTGTGGACTATGTTAAAAAAATATTTTCCTTATCCTTGCCATATGCAATGAGTTTTATTTCGAATACCAGTTTCCAATTGGACAAACATAAATGGATGTTTACTAGCTCATGGGGAAACTTAAACAAGGATATTGACCAGTTAACAGGAAAATTAATAAAACATTTTTTATCAAATTGGAATCACTTCTTTCAAAATTGTATGATCAAAGTAAACTATAAAATTAGTACCAATATTTTTGAAGTTATTTTCCGACTTCTCCCAATAAATACACTTTAATTTTTGCTGGTTGCATTTGTTTTTTCATGCGAAGCAAAATTTCATTGCATAGAAGTTCGTATTTTTAGTAACTAAATTCGAAAAAAAAAAAGATCAAAATTAAATGGATTACATCTTTTGTGTAAACTATATTCGCAACTGCCTTGCTGCACGTCTTTGGACTTGAATTTAATTGTCGGTAAATAAGAGCCTCGTCACTTGCAAAAGCCATTTTCAAGCAAATTGGATAAACAGTATTGAAGATATTAATGAAACGATTTTTCAAAAATAACTTTAACATCTTACATTTAAAAAAAAGGGCATCTGAAAAAAAAAACTATACTAGACTCAGCAAATTACGTATGTCACATTTTTTATTTTTGGTGCAATTAATTGTATTTGCTGGTTCATCAATCCAAGTTGAGTTTCGGTTTTAGATTTTAAAACACTCTGGTCATTCCTTATTACCCTTTAGTTTTGGTTTATATGTTAAAATGCGTTTTTGAAAGTGAAATGAACTTAGGACTAACAGTTGACGTTAGGAAAAATGTTACTTTTTGACCATGGCTAAATTGTGAGTTTTGAAGCGTAGCCCAACGCTTCGGTCTGTCGGTTTGACTTAAACATACATACAAAATTACAACATACTTACAAACAAAATGTACATAAGAAATGGGCATTAAGAAAACACGATGAAGAAATTGTTCCACAGGTTGTTCTAAAATTAGTTCTTAGTTCTTAAAAAAAATGACTAAACCGCTAGTATTTAAGAATAAAAAAAATGTGTTTTTTGCTCCTGAGTATCTCTTATAACGAAGTTATAACGTAGTAAACGAAAAAAAAACTCAATTATATATATCTCTAAATAAGCGCTAATCTCGATTTAAAGAATTGCTTGCTGATAGAAATTTAATTTAATTTTGTATTTAATTTATGGGTTCTTGTAAAATTGTAACCAATTTTATATTGCAAAATAATGCTAATGCATTACAAAAATGAAACTTTATTAACAAGTTAAATAGAGCTTCGAAATTAACCGTCGGTAAAAAGTAGGGTAATGTTACTAAATTAAAATCGTAATTAGCGTGATAAAATCTTTCCGTAGAAACACTTCCGTCACTTCAGTAATTATTATCTATTACATTATATTTCTAACGTTGTGTATATGATGACTAACCTAACCAACACCTAACTAACGATTTGCATTCCATCTGAATATAAAGTATATATTACAATTGATTCACTGATTTTCAGAGTTTGCGGTTGCAGTATTGTATCGGTATTTAGATAAATTAACAAAATTACGACAATTCGGAAGTTTGTCCAGTTCGTTTTTAACCGACGTGGGCCTTATTTTATTTCCATACGTGGTATGCAATATCTTAATTCTGTTCTTCTATATTCTCGTAATTTATGGCAAATTATTACTAAGGTAGCATGGCTATTTGTACAAAATGCGTGTATGTCACTCAAAAAATAAGGCTTGTTTTAATTTCATCAGACCTGATATTTTGGAACAGCAGGATATTTCTCCGCAAAATCGTCCTATTTGTTTTTCTATAAAGATTAACTTTAGCAAATAATACCAGAGGTACAAAATACTTCGAAATGATAAATAATAATATATGCATTTAGTATGTTTTCGTTATTTCTTTAATTTTACCGTATACGTACCAAATCGTGTCTTTTATTTCTCTCAATTTGCGTTGGCCCTACTATCGGAATTAAATTTCCAATTACGAATTAAATTAAAAAAAAGTGTATTCCTGGTTACTGAAACCGATTGGTTTGAAACCCACTGGGTAAATTGATACCGAAAAGAAAGGCTATAATAAGCAAACCGATGAAACACTTCCTATATGTGCGTTTCCTTTAGGTTAACAACCTATAATGGTTACTTTTTAAAATTACTTCCATATTATACAGGTTGTCAAATTTGTATTTTTGGATTCTTGGACTAAAATTTGCAGTCAATTTCTGATTTCAATTAACAAACTTACCATTTTATACAAGGTGTTCAAAAATTTATTCTAACCTAATAAGAATTTACTGTGACTTGTAATTTAAATGCAAAAAAATATAAATCAAGGTTTATATATATAATTTTTCATAATTGTTGAAATGTTTAAAGCCCTTTACCATGTGAATATGTGAATACAGTAGTTAATACCTTTAAATGGCAACAGCCATTTCAGTTCAATTATATTAGAAAAAAAAAAGTGCAGTTAGGTGATGAGGTCATAGAAAATACCCATGTACCTTCTAAGAATTAAACTTGATTTCAATCTCAAATTTTATATCAAAGCCTTAACTTAGTAAAAGGGTGTGAATAATTTACATGTGTGGAAACAAAGCCAGACGTGTTGAAGTCCGTGTTCAGCGTTCAGCTTATATAACATTTACATCCATAACGCGCTTCTGTAGCGTGAAGTTCTAAGAAGGCTGCAGCAAATATAACGACATTACTGTTTGCGTGTATTGTGTCGGATTGTAAATTAATTTAAGATCCGGTCTATTGACTTTTTGATAAATTTCAGATAAGTTTTATATGTTCGAGTTTTATTTATACCATTTGGTAAAAATTGCAAATAGTCCTCATTTAAAAAAGGAAAATAACTAAATTAGGTTTTCATTTTAATTTAATTGTTATAAAATTTTATACATACTTATCTAGTTATCTAGTTTTGTTTGTAAGTCTGTTGTGTTGTTTTCGTATTAGCAAAGGTGGTGAAAGGGGAGGGAAAACTATAGGAAAGGTAAGAAAAAAGCTTATTTAATGTGTTTATTATTTATTTTTATTTATTTGTATATTCAAAAAATTACAACTTAAAGCTTCATTGCACCTCAAATAAAGCCACTTTTTTCGTCAGAACACCCGATATATGTGCATAGTATACTATATAAATTTTATATAGTTAATCTAGCGTCACGGGAAAAACACAGAAGTAAACTTTTTTTATACAATATATAATATATAAATAAATAAACAAAATATGCTCAATTGATGATCAATTTTTTCCAAAAAGTCTAAAGCTGTTGATTTTGTTAATGAATCTTAAACAAATAAATTGTTCGAACTTCCTATCCAAACTCTATTGGCAAAGGTTGCTCAACCTCGAAAATAATTTTCAATTACCTAATTCATTTTTCGCCACAAAACGTATGGCATGAAAAGCAAGTTCACTCTAAGGCGAAAAAGATTGCAAAATTATATCTTCGTGAATTTAATATTATGTACGGGAAGGGCTAAGGAGACAACTTTGGTGCCTAATATGTGACTCATTTGACGAATATGTTGATACAATTGGGCATAATAAATTTCCTTGAGAAGTAATGTTTTGGTGACCTATGTTAATACGAACCTTTTTTGTTATTTTAAAAATGTCGTTTCATTGTATGTGACTGTGAGAAAAATCTTCGACGGATAGATATCAGCCTTCCTATACAGATATAAAGGAAGGCTATCTTTAGCTGACGTGCCTAACGTAGTAAGGAGAAAAAAGAGCAAGCATGTAAGAAGAAGAAGGAAAAGAAAAAATATGAAGAAGAAGAATAAGAAAAAAAATGGGGAAGCAGACTTAGTACTATGCGTCACTTTAAACACACACTAACCAAAAAATTATTGCTAGTTTTTTTAGATTTTGATATCTTTAAGGTTTAACAAATTAAAAATGCACATTTTGTGGCTACTTTTTTCGCTTCTGGCTGGTTCGTTGGAAAGCGCCGTATGCCTATTTTATATTTTTATCGTTAAAACGAAACTGGATAAGAACACATACCTGAAAAATATAATGTCAATACGAAAAAAAAAACAAGAAATAAAAAAGTAATTTTGAAAAATTTTG